ATACTGTCTTTTATATTTACCTATTTAATTACCTTTACCCATTCTTCATGTGGATTTGAGTTTCTGTCTGGTGCTATCTCAGCCGGAAGGGCAACTTTTAGTATTTCTTGTAGGGAAGGTTTGCTAGTGTTAAATTATCTGTTTTTGTTTACCTGGGATTATATTAATTTTTCTTTATTTTTGAAGGATAGATTTGCTGGATATAGAACTCTTGGTTGATAGTCTTTTTTTTCCCCAGCATTTTCAATATGTCATCCCACTATCTTCTGGACATCATGGCTTCTGAAGAGAAGTCAGCTCCTAATCTTACTGACGATCATTTTTGCTGGATGAGTTGCTTTTCTCTTTCTGCTTTCAAGATTTTCTCTTTATTTATTCACAGTTTAACCATTATGTGTTTAGGTGTAGATTTTTTTGAATTTATCCTTTTTGGATTTGTTGAGCTTCCTGGATGTATAGATTAATGTCCTCCATCAAATTTGGGAAATTTTTGACCATTATTTCTTCATAAATTTTTTGTCATTTTCTTTTTTCTCCTCTCCTTCTAGGATTCCCATTATGTGTATCTTGGTATGCTTTTTGTTGTCTCACAGGCTCCGAGGCTCTGATCTTTTTTGTGTGTGTGTGGTACACGGGCCTCTCACTGTTTTGGCCTCTCCCATTGCAGAGCACAGGCTCCAGACGCGCAGGCTCAGCGGCCATGGCTTATGGGCCCAGCCGCTCCGCGGCATGTGGGATCTTCCCAGACCGGGGCACGAACCCGTGTCCCCTGCATCAGGAGGCGGACCCTCAACCACTGTGCCACCAGGGAAGCCCTCAACTGACCTTATCTTTAAATTCACTGATTCTTCTGCTGTTTCAAATCTGCTGTTGAGCCCCTCTAGGGAATTTTAATTTCAGACTGTACTTTCCAACTCCAGAATTTTAAATTTTTTTCTATAATTGCTTTCTCTTTATTAACAGTCTATTTGTTCTAATCAACATTGTTTTCATACTTGCTCTAGTTCTTTAGATATGGATTCCTTTAGTTCTTTTTTTTTTTTTTTTTTTGCGGTACATGGGCCTCTCACTGCTGTGGCCTCTCCCACTGCAGAACACAGGCTCAAGACGCGCAGGCACAGCGGCCACGGCTCTCGGGCCCAGCCACTCTGAGGCATGTGGGATCTTCCCGGACTGGGACACAAACCCGTGTCCCCTGCATCGGCAGGCGGATTCTCAACCACTGCGCCACCAGGGAAGCCCTCCTTTAGTTCTATGAACATATTTATAATAGCTGATTTAAAGTCTTTGTCTATGGGACTTTCCTGGTGGTCCAGTGGTTAAGACTCTGTGCTTCCAACGCAGGGGGCGTGGGTTCGGTCCCTGGTTGGCGAACTAAGATCCCATGTGCCGTGTAACGAGGCCTACTAGTCTTTGTCTAGTAGGTCCAATGTCTGGGTTTTCTCTGGGAAAGTTTCTGTTGACTCCTTCCTCCCCCGGCACCCCATGTATGGGCCATACTTTCATGTTTCTCTGAGTATCTTGTGATTTTTGTTGAAAACTGGACATTTAAAATAATATTAAATGGCAGCTCTGGAAATCAGAATTTCCTTCACCCCAGGTTTGTTGTTGTTGTTTGTTTGTTTAGTGACTTTCTGGGACTGATTCTGTGAAGTCTGTATTCTTTGCCACAAATGGCTACTCAAGTGTGTGTGTTGGAATATGTTTGCAATGCTCTGGAGGGTGGTTTACAATTCTACTTTTAGCCTTTACTTCTGGCTTGCTCAAAGCCTCAAGGTCAGCCAGAGGTGACAGATTAGGGCCTTCTCAGGTCTTCCCTGGGCATGTGACAGCCTACATGGACATGAGCTTCTAGGTCTCCAGGAATGAATTGGGGTTTTTCATTCCCCAATATTAAAAAAAAAATCTTTTGGTAAGCCTCTTATTAGCCCCAGTTGGTATCACAGCCTCAGGCAGCTGTTGTTAAATTGCCACTGATGTTTTTGACAGATGCACTCAGGATGGGCTGTTTGTACAGAGCGAGCTCTGAATCAGGTCAAAAAAGACAAGCCCTAATCTAAAAAGTACAACAAACTAGTGAAAATAACAAAAAGAAACAGACTCACAGATATAGAGAACAAACTAATGGTTACCAGTGGCGGGGGGGGGAATACAGGGGTGGCGGACTGGGAGGAACCAACTATTGGGTGTAAGATCGGCTACAGGATGTATTGTGCAACTTGGGGAATATAGCCAATATTTTGTAATAACTGTAAATGGAGTATATCCTTTAAAAATTGTATTTAAAAAAACAAAAGGACAATCCCTGAGGATAGAGCTTTTGAGTGAGTCGCCAGATAGGGCAAAAGTGGCACTTCTCTGGGAATGGGAATTTGGGGATGCTCCAAGCCTGTTTTATCCCCTCCTATGGCTGCCAGCTTGCTGGTTTCACAGGGATTGTAGTTGCAAGGCTGCTGATTTTGAAGCCTACCTTGTTGCTAGCAAGAGGGGAATGGGAATAGGGGAAGTTAAAATACCACAAGGCTCACTTGTTCTTACAGACATTCAGCCATTTTTCTTGAATAAATTCTCCTGGGATTTTGTTTATTTCCAGAGTTTTGAAAAAGTTGATGTTGACAATACTTGTCAGTGTTCTCATTGCTTTTATGTAGGGGCAGATGTTTTAAGGTTCTTACTCAATTATTGTAGAAGTGCTTCATCCCACCTTCCCTACTTTTTTCTGTCTGTGCCTCTATCTGTTCTCCTGGATCTCTCTGCTTCAGCTGCAATACCAGGCATGCTGCTGTCCTAAGGCCTTTGCACTGCTCTTACCTCTGTCTGAAGTATTTCCCCCCACTCCCGTCCCTGCAAGGCTTGTATCCTCACCTCCTTCGGGTGTTTGCTGACGGATCACCTTCTCAGTGAGGCTTTCCTTGACTACTTATTTTTTTGTATCGTCTTATTTAGAGTTGCAACCCTGTCAGCTCCAAGCATTTCCAATCTTACTTTTTTTTTAATTTTAATTTTATTTATTTGTTTTTGGCTGCATTGGGTCTTCGTTGCTGCACGTGGGCTTTCTCTAGTTGAGGTGAGTGGGGGCTACTCTTCGTTGTGGTGCGTGGGCTTCTCATCGTGGTGGCGTCTCTTGTTGAGGAGCAGGGGCTCTAGGCACGCGGGCTTCAGTAGTTCTGGCGCATGGGCTTAGTTGCTCCGTGGCATGTGGGATTTTCCCAGACCAGGGCTCGAACCTGTGTCCCATTAGACAGTAGGTAATGTTGAAATGGATATGACATTATGTCTGCTCTTTAAAAAAATTACAGATTATTTTGAGAGAAGAAATTTGATGTAAAAACTCTTCGATGATCACTGGTAGAGATCTTTCCTTGGCACTTATTTCTTCCTTTGCTTCATACACTTATCTGTGCATATGCCTGAGTACCTGTTCCTAACTGTAAGTTCCTTGAGAGAAAAAAACCATGTCTTCCTCATTTTTGTATCACTTGCACCCACCCTGAAAAAATATGTATTGAATTATTGCATGAACTAATTTGTGTGAACATTTTTTCAAGTCTCTAAAGTGCAGAGAATGTCAGGTGATAGTTCCTAAAAATTAAATAATTCAAAGTAGTATCTAAGTGCTGAGCATGAGTGCTGTTTTATGGGACTTTTGGAGGTGATGACATCACTGTGGACTGGGAAGTTGGGTAAGACTTTGCAAAGGGTTTGGGATTCAGGCTCTGAAGGAAAGTGTAGCTAGTTATTCTATGATTAGGGATGGGAAGTGTATTCCAGATGGAGGGCAGAGGCAGTGCAGTGTTTGGGAGCAATATTCAGAGCATATTTGGAGAGCAGTGAATGAATGGGTCAGCTGTATTCAAGTGGAAGATTGTGTGTGTGTGTGTGTGTGTGTGTGTGTGTGTATGTGGTTGAAGGCAGAGGGGGACAGTGGTCCTTTTTTTTGTGTGTGTGTGCGGTACGCGGGCGTCTCACTGCTGTGGCCTCTCCTGTTGCGGAGCACAGGCTCCGGACGCGCAGGCTCAGCGGCCATGGCTCACGGGCCCAGCAGCTCCGCGGCATGTGGGATCTTCCCAGACCGGGGCACGAACCCGTGTCCCCTGCATCGGCAGGCGGACTCTCAACCACTGTGCCACCAGGGAAGCCCAAGGGATAGTGGTTCTTGAGCCTTCTACTTGCCATGTGACTTTTAGACAAGTTCTTTAACTTCTACTTTGCTTCTTTATCTGCAGTTGAGCAAAGGAGTTAGTTAGACTTGATGAGTTTGGCTCTAAAAATCCATGATTTTTTTTTTAATGTCAGAACTTTAGTAAGTAACAGTAATACGCAAGTTGTTTTTTGAGTAAGTGGATGGATGACAAAATAAGGGTATTTTAGGGCATCTGGGAGATTCATGAATGTTTCAAAGAAGAGAAACTAGAGGCGGGTAGATCAGTTATTCATTTCAGTAGTTTGAATATAAATCCTCACTTAAGATCAGGGAGATGAGAATGAAGTAACAGAAGAGATGTTACAAAGATTGATAAGGTTTCCTTCTTAGGTGGGAGAAGCAGAGAGAAGTGAAATGTTTAAATTTGAAACTAAATGAACTGAGAATGACATGTAGGATGCTGGGAGTAACTTGTTATTTTTGGTTGTGGGAGGAGAGAGGATCAAGTCTAGTGGAAAGGTAAAGTTTAACTTTAGACATGTCTAAGTATGCTCAAGGTAAGATGAATAAGACATACCTACTTCTTGAAAGGTGCTCCCAGTGACCATATTAATGCAGAAGAGTGTATATAAAGGACAGTGGACTTCCCCCAGAGGACATGGAGGGAGAGGGAGGCCAAGAACCTCTGGGATACCTGGGGCAGATGGTGACTGAGGTGCATCTCACAGGATAGGTAGGGACTCATCAGGACACATGAAAGTCACTTTGAGTCTTAGAATGCTATTTTCCTTCTTTATGTATACCCTTCCCCCTGTCTTGTTTGGTGGTTAATGGCCATTTCTTTTCTGTTCAAAAGGATCTACCGCTACCAATCTCATGACTATGCCTTCAGTAGCGTAGAAAAGTTACTACATTCCCTAGGAGGGGACGACTACCTTGGATTATTTAACCGATCACTTCTTGAAACCTTGCAGAAAGCAGGCTTTTCTGAGAAGTTCCTCGATGAAATTATTACTCCTGTCATGAGGATCAATTATGGCCAAACCATGGACATCAATGGCTTTGTAGGTAAGTCAGGGCTTGGAATAGTTATGGACATTAGTTTACAGAGTGGTTTACCTGATGCTATGGTGGCTCCTTACTTTAGGCCATGATTTGGAGAAGACTACCTTTCTTTGTGAAACCTCAGACACAATAAAAATGTTGGCAAAATTGTGTATATGTAAATGTGCATTTCTATGGGAACAGAGTCTTTAGCTTTTATTAGTTGAATGCTTCTCATCTGGGGGAGATTTTGCTCCCAGAGCCATTTGGCAATGTCTAAAGACATTTGGAGCAGGGCTTAGCTAATTGGGAAGGGATAGTGGGTAGAGGGCCTCTTACAGAGTCAGAATTAAAACAAATTTTCTTCCTACCGCTGACAGGGGCAGTGTCAATGTCCTGTACTGATCCTGGCCTTTGGGCAGTAAAAGGTGGCAATAAACTTGTTTGCTCACGGCTCCTTAAGGCTTCCAAAAGCAATCTTATATCTGGCTCAGTAATGTCCATAGAGGAGAAAACAAGGACCAAGCAGACAGGTAAACTTGAACTTCTATTTTACTGTTCCTAGTTTTCCCTGCAGAAAATAACTGCTCGGGGAGAAAAACCTCTTTCTCCATCTCTCACTGAGTTCCAAATGATGGAACGGAATTTTAGTTTCCCGACCAGGGATCAAACCTGTGCCCCCTGCACTGGACGGCCAGGGAAGTCCCAAATGATGGAATTTTAAATTGGAGGTGCTGTATGTCATGTAGAAATATTCACAAATGTGCTCAAGTACAGCAGCATGACTCTTTGGATTTAAAAAACAATTTCGGCGGCGGCGGCGGCGGCGGCTCGGGGGACTGGGACCTTTTGTTTGGAGCGGCGGCGGGGGGCCCCGGAGCGGCGAGGCCGGCGGCCTTCCCCTGCTCGCTCGGTCCCGGCCGCCCCTCGCGGGGGTGCGGGGGGCCGCCCCCTGGGCCGGGGCCTAGTCTCAGGCGCCCCCGCCCCGCCCTTGGCCCGCCCCGCCCGGCCCGAGGGGAGGAACCGGCCGGGCCTCCCCGCGCGCCCAAAAAAAAAAAAAAACAAAAAACAGTTTCATCCTCAAAAGTAAAAATTTCATATTTTGTACTTATTGACAAGATTTTATTTCCATTCCAAGTAGAAAATTGGCCTCATTGTAATACAAATGCAAGGGGTAATTATCTTAAGGGATAAAACTTGTTTAATTCCTTAGAATTACAGAGAAACTATTAAGAAGGTATAGAATTATTTTTAGAAGGTATAAAATATAGTATGTTAGAAACATTAAAAAAATGTATGCTTCCCTATTTCCTCTAGGAAATCCCACAAAGGTGTATGAAGCGGTCTACCAAACCGGATCTGAGACCCATTCAGCCTTCTATGACATCGTCCTGCTGGCCACTCCATTGAATCGAAAAATGTCCAATATAACTTTTCTCAACTTTGATCCTCCAATTGAGGAATTCCATCAATACTACGAACCTTTAGTGACAACTTTAATTAAGGGGCAGTTGAATTCAACTGTCTTTACCTCTAGAGCCTTAGATGAGTTTGATCTCGGTACAGTCTTAACCACTGATAATCCAGATTTGTTCATTAACAGCATTGGGTTTGTGTCTTCTGTAGAAGAAAGTAATAATCCTCAACCAAAAGCGGACAGGGCACACGTTTGGAAGATCTTTTCCGCAGGACCTCTTACTAAAGAACAAATTTTAAAGCTCTTTGTGTCCTATGATTATGCTGTGAAGCGGTCATGGCTTGCATACCCTCATTATACGCCTCCAGAGAAATGCCCTTCCATCATACTCCATGATCGACTTTATTACCTCAACGGCATGGAGGTTGCAGCAAGTGCCATGGAAATGAGTGCTGTTGCAGGCTACAATGCTGCTCTCCTTGCCTATCACCGCTGGAACGGGCACACACACATGATTGACCAAGAGGACTTATATGAGAAACTTAAAACTGAACTATGAAATATCACTATTTCTTTTTTTCCCCTCCTGGTTCCAAATGGAATTATCACTGGCACAAAAGAACACAGTCTGAGCAGAGACGATTTTGAAACAGATATTTTGCTGTTATCGTTGTTTAACAAAAGTAATCCCAGTGAATCATGAGATATACAAGGTTCTAATTAAGCATGAAGGCATAACTATTGCATCTCCAAAATTTATTCTTTCTTTAATATCCATCAGCAGTGTTTCCCAAACTTCTCTGATCATAAGAATCATCTGGAGTTTGTTAAACGTACGGATTCTCTAGCTCCTCTGGAGATTCTGATTTAATAGGCCTGGGGTGGGGCCCTGGATTTTGAACCAAACCTTAAAGCATTTTAAGCTGAGCACTTGAGGAAGACTTATCTTTTTGTTCGGGACTAGTTCATTTGTGCTTCGCAGCTGGATGTGATCTTCAGTCAGATACAACTACTATGGGAGCTGGTATCTTATGCCTGGCTTTAGTAATTTATATTTTTCAAAGTACATATGCCCATGCTTGAAGCCTTGACTTTCAGAATGTTCTTTTCATTGCTTTTGTCTCTATTTCATTAGGGGTGAAAATCAGAAGTCTTAGTTTAGTATAAATTTAAGATGTCATATAAAAATCTTAAGTAAAATGAAAAGTGCAGGCTACTGATTTAAGAAATTGGCCTTCTATTATCAAACCCTCACCTGAGGAGCTTTTAAAACTAGTGATGGAGCTCCACAACAGAGATTCTGATTTAGTTGAGGACAGGACCTCAGCTTTTTGTAGCTTTTGAAAGTTCCTAACGTGCATCCTGGGTTGAGATTCACTGTTGGTGGTGGTTTATGATGTTTCCCAAGGGTTTTTAGTGCCTTACGAGTCCCAAGAAACCCAATCCATTATCAAAGCGGGTCCATGTTGCAAAGAATGATTTCTCTCATTGAGAACTCTAGTAATCTTGATAGTAAGATGCAGTGACAGTCCCACAGCAGAGGCAACTTAGATTACTCCAGAGCAGTTGGCACTAGAGGAGGATATTCAGCAAGACACCTTGCTTGATCAGATCCAGTGTATGTTCAAACTGTTAAATGCTTCTAAAGGTACTGTAGCATTTTGGTTGAGAAATTGGTTGCTGAAATCTTTTGAGGCCTTGGTTCTGAGCCTCAGCTGTACATTGGAATCACCTGTAGGAGTGCTTCCTGAATGATTCTAATATGTAGCCAAACTTGAGAACCAGTTCTCCATCTGTACAAAGATCATGAGTGACTGTCCTTATAGTCACTGGGAGGACAGGACAAGTAAAAGCTTGTGAATTCTAAAAGTAACTGCAACCAAGTTAACATGTATTGTTTAAAAAAAAAAAAAAGCCCTCCAGATTATAGCAAAAAAGAGAACACTGATTCTTAAAACAATTTCTTCTCTATTACAATTGTGAATAATATGCTGATAAAACTGCCAAGATATATTTGATGTAGAGGCAGGAATTAAATTTATAGTTTGTCAAAGGGTCAGCTTTTTACTATTTTTATTCTTAAGTATGTTGAGACATTCGTAAGTTTTTCCTTTTGTGGTTTTAATGAAGACAGTTATGTTGAGAGTGTAATACTATTATGTATATGCTAAAAGTGGGTGAATACTAGTGAGGTAATTTAATTTCTATCACTTATAGACTTGTTTTGCGATAGGATATATTTGTACTTAGAACACCAATTTAAAAGGTTGCTGTTATATCAAACCCAACTCTGTTTTCCAACAAGGCATCTGAAGTTGTTTCCTCAAAGAGCAAAACAGGTTATCCGTATGTCAAGCATATTAGTATTAATGCAATTACAGCATTAAAAAACCTTTTTTTTTAATTGGAAGAAAAATCCTATCAGGGCCTATTATTCCAGGAGGCCGCTCAAATCATCTTTTTACAGAAGAGACTGGTGGAAATTATGCAGGGGCTGAATGAAGGCCAAGTTCTGCTCCAGTGGTTCTCCAACTTGAGTGTGCATCAGAATCACTTGGAAGCCTTGTTAAAACATTGCTGGGCCTCACCCCAGAATTTGTTTCAGTAGGTTTGGAGTGGTATACAAAAGACTGCATTTCTGTTATGTTCCTAGGTGATGCTACTGGTCTAGGAACCACACTTAGAAAACCAGTTCAACAATTCAGCTCTACGTGGCTGCAAAAAACACAAGCTTGTCGACATTAGTGAAGAATTAAAAAGAGAATGGAAAAATAAAAATGTATTGGCCTTCGTTAGTTTGATCCCTCTCACTATTCTTTTGCTGTAAACATTTCCTATAAATAGGAAATACCACTTTACATACACATAAGCCACCCGTTTTATTATACTTTTCAAGTACCTCACATACTCAGTGTACACCCCACTCTCCAGTTTTAAAGCAATTCATGATTTGTAGGCTTTTTACCAGATCAGAAAAATAAGCATTTGCTTGATAGGTTTCTTAAAGTTAGGTTTATGATACAACCATCTGTAAAACATCTCTCATTTGAGTTTGTGAACCATAAAATTTATGAACTAGGTGAATATATCATGGGCAGCGTTATCACTATCTTCTCCACAAAGAACCACAGTGCACTGGAATGTTTTTCTCTGGAATTGTATTTCTACTCTTGTATTCAAAAAAATTTCCCACGTATGTTCAAAATAAAACCATGATATCATGACTTCCTATGTTTTACTTCTGTTGTACTATATGGTTGACCCTTCAACAATGTGGGGGGTAGGGACGCCGACCCCCAAGCAGCCAATAATCTGCGTGTAACTTAGTCAGCCCTCTGCACATGTGGTTCCTCCATCCAGTTCAGAATCCGTGGATTCAAACCACCATGGATGGTGTAGCACTGTAGTATTAGTAAATTATTTACTAATAATCCAAAATTATTTTGGAAAAAAATCTGTATAGAAGTGGGCCTGCACAATTCAAACCTGTGTTGTTTGAGCAAAACCGTACTTCGTATGTAAACGTATGTGAAAAAGTCAGAGTTTGTCAGTTATGGCAAGAACTTTGAAAATTCCAGTTAATGTTTCCGAAGAAACCCACTCAGGCTTGCAGCTTCTTTATCTCTGTTCAGTGGTAAAAGATACAGAAAATGGGTATCCTTGCCAATGTTTCAAATTTAATAAGATTCTTGTATTTTAATGCATTAAAAACCTCAGGGACTTCTAGTGGATGAGCATTTGCCTGCTAATGCAGGGGACAGGGGTTCGATCCCTGGTCCGGGAAGATCTCACATGCTGTAGAGCTAAGCCCGTGTGCCACAACTGCTGAAGCCCGAGCGTCTAGAGCCTGTGCTCTGCAACAAGAGAAGCCACCATAATGAGAAGCCCGTGCACCGCAACAAAGAGTAGCCCCTGCTTACTGCAACTAGAGAAAGCCTGCACGCAACTACGAAGACCCAGCATGGCCAACCCCCCCCCCCCCCCAAAAAAACAGAAAAAACAAAAAACAACACCCGTGAACAAATCAGTCACAACCAGGAACAGGTCATGATAGAAAAAAATCAGAATAAGAGCAAATCTTCTATGTTCAGAACAGCTGAGAAAGCATTTCTGACTATTACAGAAGTTTATTTAACAAAAAAGTTCAGTAAGAAAATGTACACGACCCAATTTTCATCATAGTAAAATGTGGAGAGGGGACACGTGGAAGCAGTTGATTTCTCTGGTGAAGACAGCCATTGTTCATACTCGTTCCAAAGCTTCTAACATGATGATACTATTTCCTCGTATTACCTAAGAAAGAGAAAATGAATTTGAAAAGAACACAATTCATTTAACAGACATATCGATGATTAAAATGATTTGATTTCATCAAATCATTAATGGTTTTTCGGTTATTAAATGTCAGTTTGTGAGGCTTTTTTCCTGGTCACAGGAACACAAAAGAATTCCAGTCTTTTAATAATGACATGAAGCCACTAAGCCCTTCATAATGAGATGCACATCTAGATTGAAGGCTAACAAGTACCTTTTTGAGACCAGTCTCCAATGACCCATTTCACTTAAACTGCAGGACTCAAATGAACATGCCCATCCCTGCCCCTAAGGGATCCATAAGTTAGTGGGAAAAATAGGTACAGTAGAATACATCAATCAGTTAGGGGTATAAGATAATTGAGGGAACAAACCAGGATGGAAGTTGGAAAAAGTAGGATTTCTGAAGATGACATTTTAGCTGGGTCTTGAAAATTGGGTACAATTTTGACAGGAAGATAGGAAATTCTAGACAGAACTGAGATGAAAAAGTGTAAGGGGATAAGGAAAAATCTAATCTGAATAAAGTAAATGGTTATGGAAGGAAGTGGTAAACAAAGACAGTTCGCACCTAATCTTAAAAGGCCTCAAACACCAATCTTAAAAGTGTTTGGAAAGCATCATGAAACCAACAATGAACCAGTGACAGTTTCAGAACTGGGGGAATGACCACTGTTTTGGCAAAAGCGTATATAAGAGAATGGGGGTGGGGGAGACTTAGAGGCAGGAAGAAAAGTTATAAAGAAAAGGCCCCAGGGGCACAGTGCCTGATATAGTAGCCATTCTATAAAAGATAAGCCAGGATACTCATGACAGCATAGGTGAAATGGCTGGTAATGGCTGGTAAAGAGGGATAGAAAAATAAGTCAAACTGGAAGGGGACTATGAAAATAAGGAGCCCCTGGTGGACTGTAGGTAATGCAATCACAGATCAGGTCAAGTAGAGCTGGATAGGTGAAAAGGACAGGAGTGGGATGAGGGATGTGGAACGATTTATTAGAAATGGAGGCGTTCTGAGTAAGATCAAAGTGGAGCTATGCTTGTAGGCAGGTGGTGTAAAAATAGCTGTAACTTGTTCTTTTCTCCTCTCATTCTATTTGCTTTATTTATTACATACACTATTATTTACTATCTTCCTCACACCAGTGTCATTTCTATGAGGCAGGGACTTTGCTTGGTGCACCATCCCCAGTGCCTAAGCTGTGGCAGACACACAAAAGGTTCAGTAAGTACTGTTAAGTAAACAAATGAACCTCCACCTGATTACCGCAGCTGACAAGACTGGAAAGGAACGTGACAG